CATCCAGGTAGCACGAACAGAGTCTCTTCTCTTTCGGCTACTAAAGGCAGTGTTTATCCCTATGACCATGAGATATTTTCTCTTCTTAGTTAATTCAGAGATCTTCAGATCTTCAGTTATTGGAGCGTTACTCGTTATAGTATCCTGCAAGGCCCTTGCTGCAGCTAATTCCATCTCCAGATTTGAGATTGTTGTATCCAAGGTTCTGCATTTTGTTAAAGAAAAAGTAACAAGCAGCTCTTACTATTTGAATACTTATGTTGAAACATGATTCTCACAAAATCTATGAATAACAAGCATAAGTAACATACTGTACAGCATGATGCGTCCTCGAAGCATCCCCAGGAATATACTTGGATTCACTTTTTACATCCTTCTGCTAAAAACAACAAGAACGAAGCCATTACCGCCTGACAAACTTGAATACCAGAGTACCTAAGATTACATTGCTGTCCACTTTTCTTGCATATAATACTTAAAAGGCGTAATGTCACCATCTTCACAGACTAACCTTACCTTTTGATCATCAATATGTGTTGTCCTTGATATGCCTTTAGCTTCAGGTACTGTCCACACTCTACAGCCATAATAACACGGTTAACAGTGAAGACAGACATGCTCACGGCATATTGAATAAATCGGAGAAAGTTGCAAAGGAGGAAGCTACTAGAAAGAACTGTTCTAAAGAACATTTCATGTCAACGGTACTACAGACAGTGATGCATACACGTGAATTAACTTCCGAGGCCTATACAAATATTTTTGTTAAATGGTTTCCCCTTGTAGTCTTTTTTTGTTAAAATGAATGCGGACGGGTGTCTGCTTTCTTTTAGAATTCAGAATGTATAACAAGTCTCTCTTACAAACCTCTAACCCTTCAATGTCCTCAAATCTTTTCGGATAACCAGAAATCTACGCTACGGACAGTGACATCTGTGGTGCATTTGAACACCAATATCAGTAAACTTTCTTAAACTTGTAAAGCATTCACCTCCAACTAATCAAACCACCAAAGATAAATTTCCATTAAGAAACAAGCTTAACTCTAATGCACAGGCAACAAGACCAACAACGAAAAACAAAAGATTTGCAAGCAATGTGATGTAAACAGATATTAGCAATTTCAGGTTCTAATTAGTCTCAATACAACAAAATCAGCTTCATTGAGCGGTGCAGGAATTGACGATGGATGTCATACAGAACAGCATAATACACAAACAAACACTCAAACTTTGGTCTCAGCTAGCAAGTAAACACTCCAAGTCTCCTACTTTGAGTATGCACATCTCGATACCTCAACTCATCTCCACTATGTAAATTGAACACCCTAATTACAAAATGATCATCTAGCTAGACACCTCCAAAATTTATGTGCCACGTTAGCGTCAGGTGTCCACTAGATATAGTTGTCAGTTGAGACAAAATTGATCGAGCTGTCTAGATGTGCACTCTCAAAGTTGGAGTACTTACTTATCAGCTAAGGCCAAAGATGAATATTTGTTTATGTATTATGCCTTTAAAGAACACATTGTTTCCCTTTTTCCTATTCATGTTCAAGAAGGAAACTTCAAATTTTATAGCCAAATTCTACAGATCCATTATTAACATACAGGAAGATTCAAAATGGGAATATAAATACTTCAATAATAAAAAATAAAAATAAAAAACTTCATAATCCAATCAAAAACATAAATTTTCTAAAACACAAAAATGAAAAGAAAGAACCTGTGAGTGAAGAACATTCCAGCACAAAAGCAACCAATACAGAGCAAAATTGTCAAATTTGGAGAAGTAACACTTTTTAAACCTCTTTTGCTTTTCCAACTCATTGTATTATTCTTCATTTCTTAACTAATTCAATTAGCAAAATCCATTTAGACTCTCAAGTGAAGTCATTATTTCAAAAGTTTTTTTTTCTTTCTCAAAACAAAATAAATGTCAGCAGAGACTATAGAAATCTCTGACTATGAATTTTTTTTTATGGATTTTTGAAGTGTGTCTCTTTCTTTGTGTTATGTGAACTGAGAAAGAGCAGAAGAAAAGAAGGTATTGGCAGTTTGTGGAATTTTATGGAATAGAATATCCACATATAATATAACCACTATATACCCACTTCTTTTATTTTATTTTATCACTTTATTTATTTTATAACTCCAAGAGTTTTTACCTTTTTGCTCAATCTAAAAATTGAAGGTAGAGTAGGAAAGAGTTTTGCGATGATCCTTAAAACTGGTTTTCCTCACTTCTTGAACTAGTTTTACAGATTGAATTAAACTATAAATCTATTTCTTATGTGATATCAAATAAAGGTTCATTCCAATTTTTATTTCTAATGTTGAATTCTAATATTATATTGTCCACATATTAGATGTTCAATCTTTAAAAATGAGAGAATGTAAAGAGTTTCATATTGATCCTTCAAGAGATATGTGCTTTCTTTAACATGACTTAAACAATAATCATATTCTAAATTAAATTTTGAGATTAAATTAAGCTCAAAATAATCACCTCAAATAAGTGTTTTTTTAATTCTTAATAAGAAATTTTGAATTTGAACTTACTAAATACAAAATTGTCTTTGTTAAGGAATATTTTATTTCCGTTATAATTTTTTTTTATACGAATTCAAATTTTATTGCGCTCAATATGAGCTACTGGGCACCTGATAGAAAAAAAATCAGAAAAATTAGTGGGTGCAAAATGTAAAATTTATTTATGATGTTGAATGTGTCTACTAAATTAAGATATGAGAAATGATAATTCATAAATTTTTATTCCTACATATATAAATATATTAATATAAAATTTTTTAATGTGAATTATGCCATGACTAAGATCTTTTATATTATTTTTATAAGAGATGACAGTAATATGATTGGTTTTCTTTTGTAGTGGGAAAGAGATGTGTTAGGTTGGGCAAATGTACCTAACTCCTTAAAGGAAAGTGTAGATGTTAGTTGTTTTAGGCTGGAAAAGGAAAATAAATCTTTTTTTTTCAGTTATAATAATTTATTTATAACAATAATACTTGATGAAGTAGAGTAGGGGTAAGTTATTTTGTAGCTCTTGATAAAATTTATTTTTACTTTCTTACATTTTTCACTAGAGATTTTTATTTAAAAGGAAAAAGGTTTGAAATATATTCGAACTTTAACCGAAATTGCTCTTACAAAACCAAACTTTGGAAAGAATCTTTTACCCCTGCACTATTTAATAGTGTATTTCAAAGGTATATATGTGCTCACGTGGACATCATAAATATTGCATCATTATAAATAATAATGTGTCCACGTGGACACATATATACCTTTAAAATACACTATTAAATAGTACATGGGATAAAAGGTCTTCCATAAAGTTTGATATCGTAACAACAATTTCGACCAAAGTTAGAGCATTTTTCAAACCCTTTTCCCTTATTTAAAACCAATTTGTAAAGGGAGATATTTTCACCTATTTCCTCTTTTATTTCTTACAATTAAATCGTGACACAACTATTATTTATTTTTCTATAATCATTTTGAAAATTTAAAATCCCAATTCTTTAATTATCTTGTGAGTATACCTCGTAGAGGCGGTGAATATAGAATTTTCATAGTATATGAGGTGTAAGCTTTTTTTTAGAGTATTTATTTTTATTATATAGATAGTGTATTTGAAATTTAATCATACTATAGAGATGCTTAGCGTTATTAATCTAATAAAAATAATTTGATAAACAAAAATCGGAACTAATCTGACCTATGTATGACCACCCTTGCTTAGGAGTAATATATTTTCTGTCAAAGCGCGTACTGTGAAACTAGTGAAAAGATGACAACAAAAACATATCCAGCATATATATTCTCACAAAGTGAAGTTTGAGGAGCATAGAATATATGCAAACATTACTCCTACGTCAGAGGTAGAGAGACTTTTTCTGAAGAAATAATATAAGCAAAAAGAGACTGTGATTCAATATAAGCTGAATCATGTTTCTTCAGAACTTGAACACTAGGCAACAAATTAATTTTTTCATGTCTGTCTAGTGCTAGTTCACCATGCTTCTCTTGTAGACTCTTAATACTTCTCTGTTACCTTTCATTTCATATATATACACACTTATAAAGCTCATGAACACAACTGCAACTAAATTGTAGATAACTTGGAAAGATAAAATAGTTTGTTGCTCGCGGAGGAAATGAGAAATCAACTCAATGGCCATAGCCATGTTAGCATCTACATCATTAGCAGTGCCCTCAAAAAACTGATGTCCAAGTAAGGTCTACAAAGGAGGAGCAAGAAAGGATAGTTCTGCAGTTCCCTTTCACTAACAAATACGTATGTATATTACTAGTAAGCACACTCAATGTGTAGAAAACCACATAATGAATGCATATAAAGAGATGATCAAATGAAGTTGTCATTCCCACATCTGATCTTTAAGACAGACTGGAAGGGATTTAATCGAAAGGAGACTCAGATTCAATATAACGAATAAGCCAACAGTTAGAAACACGGTCTGTTACATCATGGAAAGTAGGATTATCAACTTAAAGTGCTCGAGACTCAAAAGGAATGAGATACCGTTCCACTGATAACAATATAAGCGGAATTTTATTGATCCTGAATATCTGAATCCACAAGATCATGTGCTAAACTCTGGTACTAGAAAACAAACTCTTCGGAAACTATCTCCTCAACAACTCTTGATCATCAAGTCCTTGCATAAGGAAATTTCAGTATCTATGTCTACAGCCAGTAAAGTATACTGCTCTTGTGCAACTCCTACACCAACTTCTCTGACATTCATGCCTATACCTACACCTCTCAATTGAGAAACGAGTCATTCAGGGCGGTTAAAGGGAGACGAGATGCTTCATGATGCATCACAAAAGAAATTCATCTCATTTTGTGATTCAACAGAATCCTGAAGTTGAAACTTCTCTGATTATAAACCTCCAACAATTTTCAAAAGGAGTCAATGGAACACATTAAAAAATATCCAAATTACGAAACAATGAGAATCCAAATACCAGAATCGACGCAGCTATGTAAGTGCATCTGCTCCAGCAACAATTTCCAATATCTCACCTGTGATCTTCGCCTGCCTTTCCCGATTATAAGCAATAGAAAGGTCCCTCCTCAACTCAACGGCATTATCCGTTGCACTACTCATTGCATTCATCCTAGCTGCAAGCTCACTTGCAAATGACTCTTGAAGTGCCCTCAAAATCTGGCTATTCAAATATAGAGGCATCAATGCATCAAGAATCTGAGCAGGATCTTGCTCAAACTCTAAATTAGGCAAAAATTCCCCCTTTTTCACCCTCAAATGATCCCTCACCACAGTCAATTTCCCTCCCTTAGTAGTCAACCTAAAAAACTCATCTTCATCTACATCAACACTTCTCCCATTCACATCAAAAACCTCTCCTTTCGACGTTAATGGGAGCAAAGTATGAATCACCGGATCAGATTTAATCAACGAAACAAATTTAGTATACAAAAGCTCTACTTTATCAACTTCTTCACTAATAAACAAAGAAAAAACATCATCAGCTATAACCTGAGCCTCTTTAGCATTCGGAAAACTCTCACCTTCAACAAATCTATCAACAAATTCCCCTTTCCTACGACGAAAATAAGCATTACTCTTCTTACCAACACTAATCAAAGTATACCCAATTCCAAGATTCGTCAATTCCGCCATCCGGGTCTCTGCTTTCTTGAAAATCCCATTGTTAAAACCCCCACAAAGACCTCTTTCACCTGCAATAACAACAAGGGCAACTTTCTTTACTGGTCTTATTTCTGTTAAGGGTATATCTACGTCTTCTAATTGAAGCTGTTGGGTGATGTTGTACAACATATCAACAAGGGTTTCAGCAAAGGGTCGAGTACTGATGACTGCTTCTTGGGCTCGACGAATCTTGGCGGCTGCAACTAGTTTCATTGCTTCTGTAACTTTTTGGATGTTCTTGATTGTGTCGATTCTTTGTCGTAGTTCACGAATACCGCAGTGAATTGAAGGAAGGGGGAGTTTCAGGGATTGGAAAGTGGGGTTTCTGTTGGTTAGTTTAGGATCGGAAATGGGGAAGTTGACGAGATGCGAAGTGAAAGAGAGTGAAGAAGCCATTGATGGCTAATTTTGCAAGGGAGGAAGAAAGGTGAAAAATACCACCCTACTATAATTTGTAATTAAATGAGTTTAGTGTAAAAAAATATATTAGTTTCATATGTAAACTATCCATAAATAATTGAGAAAACAGCCAAATACCCCCTCAATCTATTATCCGATTTTTAACTACACACTTATACTTCACGGGGATTCTATTACCCCTAGAGTATTTTAAACACAAATATTGACACCCTTAGAACGTCACCCACAAATCTTTGTTGTTGAGTGTAATGCACACACCTATTTTTCAGAATAAATTTTTTTTAAAAAAAAAATCATCTCCAAAATACATCAATTTTAATGCTTTTCATTTTTTTCTCCACCATTCTATTCATCTTCCTAAATCATTCTATTTTTTCTCCATGGCTCCCAATGTTTGATCTTCTCCAATCCATCTCCGTCTCTATCACACTCATCATCCTCCGTCTTTCTTCTATCTTTTCGATCATTTATTTGCACAAAATCTAGTTGTTATTGTTGAATTCAATAAATTAACATGAATGTTGAATCTTTTTATTATGGTATCTTATTGCCATTATTGTGTAGTTCTGCATCTGGGTTCTCTAGTTGCTTTTTTTATGGATTTGAAGATGAATTTTTCCTTGCCAAATTTCAAATTCTAATACTCACTTTCAGTTCGAATCAAGAAACTCACAAATTTCAAATTCTAATACAAATTCCTAACAAGAAATTTGGGCTGCTACTATAATCGAAAAGATTTCTCTAGCAGAAGTTGTAATATCATTGTTCAATATCGGATTGAAAGTATTTTCCATTGAGGTGAAAGAAATTAAAGGATTATCATTTCCTTTCTTTTGGTTATGATGTCTATTTTTAGGAAAGATTTGAAGGTGTTAGTCATGAAAAAGTTCATTGTGGATTAAAAATGAAAATGAAATGAAAAAATAAAATATTGTATAGGTAATTGTCCATGGAAGCCATGACAAAATTCAATTGCAGAGGTTTAATTTTTAGAGGTTGGTAATGGTTAGTGAGAGTATGTGATTGTAATTAACTAAATTTATTTATTAATTGTATTGAATTCAATTAAGAAATGAGTCAAATCATTTAATTTTAACCTATTTATCTGCCTTACACTTGCCTCTATGAAAGTGAACACACTTGATGTGCTACATCAACACTTAAGGGTGTTAATATCTCTATTCAAAATACTTCAAGGGGGGAATAGGATCTTCGTAAAGTATTGATGTGTAGTTGAAAATTGCGTAATATATTGAGGGGGTATTTGACCGTTTTCTCTAAATAATTCTAGAAGTATTAAACTATCATTTATAAGTTTAAAAAATACATCGAATTAAATGTGTATATATACACACTTATGCACGTATGACTTAATTTTTAACTTTTTGTCATGTTGAAATCATGGCAATTTATAGGATAGTGTGTATTACATTTTTTTTTTTAATAATAAGAAAATTTGTTACATGTAAAATTCTGTGTGCGAAGGGAAGTAATTTGCTTCTAAACTAGTAGAATTTATATTATTTGTACTAAAATAATGAAGTTAATTCCATATGACATCTATGTGACTTGTAAAATATAAAATCCAACGAACAAACTCATTCTCCTTTTGGTAAATGTCTATAAGTTATATTTATGATATTTGGTAGCTGCATTTCAAAGTTGATTTATTGAATTTCTCACCTCGAATTTCTTTTGTGAAAAATTGCTATATTTGAGGCAAGAGAATGGGGTTCTTTGAGGCCAATTCTTGTTGCATTTTAAGTCCAAACGCTGCATTTACTTGTAACATGCTGTTTTTTTAAGGTTTGTGTTGATTTAGACAAATTACCTAATGAATTATAGATTTTCACATTTTATACGGAGTTAGTGAATCGTATAATAAGTAATTATTTACACAGTTTGAGAGACACTTGAGTTAGTTGCTGATGGCGATAATGTCTCGACTCCATTCAATTTTTGTATCAATTCTCCTTTCGTACTATCAAAAATTAATTTTTTTACTAAATTCACACTTTAAATAACTTTTTAAAGTATAATAGAAGCAGATTATTGCATTCAAAAATATTGTCTTCTTTATAAATATCTATTAGTAATACATTATTAATCCTAAAAAATGAAGAAGACAAGAAAGAAATAAATAGTAAAAATTAGGCAAATCACATAGTATAAGAAAGAAATTACTTCCTATCCCTACTCTTTCATTAATTACCAAAAATCCCTTTTTTAGTGTCTTTCGGATACATAATATAGCAGCGCGGATACTTTAATTAATAAAGGGCGGATACTTAAATTATTAAGTTGTTGGCACGGATACTTTAATTAATAACGGGCGGATACTTAAATTAACGGGCGGATGCATAATATAGCAGCGCGAATACTTTAATTAATAACGGGCGGATACTTAAACTAATAAAGTATCCGATTAAGTTGAATTGGAGGAAAATAAGGGATTTTTGTATTTTAGTAAAAGAGTAGGGAAATATTGAGAATAGGTAAAGTAATGTTGTGTATTTAAGTAATTTGTCCATAAATGTACGTACATCAATCAAAATTGTACCATTAGAAAAATTATCCCTACCATTAATTTTTAATTTTTGTTATGTTAGAAAAAAAAAAAATACTTTACTTTAACAAAGTAAAAAAAATTAAAAATACTCAAATAATATTTGAAGAATCAAAATCCAATTTTAGTCCAAAAAAACTCAGTGTGAAGACAAAAGTGAAGTGAATTTGAATTTGAATTGAATTGCCGGAGAAGTCATCGGAATGGGTAGAGGATTGGGTTCGCAAAACTTGCCGGCGGACGTCACACAGCTGATCGATCAGTTAGACCGCCATTGTTTAGCCCCTGATGGATCTCTCATCTCCAAATCCGCTCACTACGATCTCCAACTTGTACTCTCTATCTCTATATAATGCTTACCGTTTGATTGTAAATGTAAACATACTGTGGAAAATGTTTTTTTTTTTTTGGCAATGCAGGCGAGAGAAGAGATGTCAAAAGAGAGACAACGATACTTGGAATCCTTAGTAGGGTTTCTATTTTTGGGTTAACATTTTCTTTTTTTTTTCCTGATTTTTCTAGTCTAATTGTTGCATTTATCCTTTGTTTGGATGAACATTATAGGCAATATACATTGAAGCAACTGCGATGGTAGAGGATTACCAGCAGGCCATTTCTGTGGCTAATCTTGGTGGTATGAGAGATGTCCAGGGTTTATACTCTCAATTGGGCTTGAAAAATCCTCCTCAGGTTCCATTTTTCTTTTCAGTTTATTCGATTTTATGGATGCTGTTTGGGTAAAAGGATTCTCTTTTAGTTCACTGACATTACAGGCCTGACTTGGGTATAGGTATTTCGTGCACGATACTTTACTAAAAGATTGCATGTACCGTGTAGTGAATGCTTATGCACACCCGTATAGAGTGTGTACTGATAAACAAATTGATTATCAATAGATGAAAATGAATGATAAGTTTAAGGTGTTATGCATTGTACATTTTTTTAGGCTCTGGAGATAAAGTTTTCGGGACAATTTTTTTTTTTTTTCTTTTGGGTTCATTGTTCAAATAGTTGAAGTTCTCTGGGTGATTTTGACTCTGGAATGACTTCAGGTTTATGAGGATCTTGAGCATAGGATGGTTGTTGCAGAAGCAGCACAGAGATTGAGGCTTCCTCTTATCTCCAAAGACGGTGAGATTCACGAGGAGGAAATTGAAAAATGGAGTATAATGTCAAGAAGTTCTTTTGATAGCACAAGCACCAGCATTACATTAAGCTCGAGCTCAAACTCCGCTTATCAAACCAATGCATCTGCAATTGGAGCTGCTCCTGCAGCAAGCAGTGCTTCTACTACTAGTACAACTGATGCAACAGAACCAGATGTTGGTGGTGTTTCCAATCGGTTCCTTGGAATTACGCCTGCATATTTATGGCAAAGTCAACTACATCAGATGTCATCAGTGGTATAATACCTATTTGATTGACGTAGATAATCTCATGTTCTTGTGGGGAAATTGCTTGTTACCTACAGATGTGGAATCACTATTCATCTGGTTATTAAGTGTTAGTTCTACATGTCCATAGATGCTTATGTGTCTGCTATTGTAGGACGTGGCAGAATACCAGAGATTGCTTTCACGGGAGATTGGTAACCGGTTCGATGCTAAATGTGATAAGTTAGCTGATGCAGTTGCTATTGATGACATTGGTAAGTTTAAGTTGCTAATTTCTCTTCCTTTATCTTCCCTTGGTCCTTGGCCTTTCAATATGTTTATTGGTTGTCGAATTTCTACTTGTTTTCCTCTTAAACAAAACCAGCATTTATAATTAAGACCTGGACATCTATGTCAGTTTTATAATTAGCCTCTATATACATGTTATTATTTGAATGGGTATAGTATGTAGTCAATTGCATTGTAATGTTTCAAATTGTGGCGCAAATAGGAAATATCTACTGCTGAGGTGAATAAGTTCTAGATTTACTTGTTATCCATTTATACAAAACTGTGCCCCTCAGGGATTTCTTGGTTATAATTTTTCTCTAGATTTACTCTTGTCAGTGTTTTCTTCAGAGGCTGGTTGAGTAGTTCTCTTACTATTTAAATAACAGAACTTTTAAAAGTTGTTGTTTTCAGATCAAGATTTATGTAAGAATATAAGTATATAACCTTACCTTGATTCTACAGATATATCTGCTGCCAATCAAAATTCAGCTGCCAGACTTCCAGAGAGGTCTCACTCTCTCTCTCTGAACTTATGTTTCTAAATTGTATGATTTATGTGAATCATTTATAAAACAGGTTGTGCATGTTTTTTTAGCTTGTTAATTTCAAAAGAATATTCCTCCTAGTTCCATGAAAGAATAGACTCTACATTGGATTTACGTTAAGAATAAATCATTTGGCAAAAAAGAAAATTTATATTCTGAAGAATGAATTGACTTGTCATGTTGTTCAATATTCAATAACCATGTATTACAGTTTCCCCCCCTAGGAGATGATCTAGCGGTTTAAGAGTTGGAGTAACAACCATAGGAACCAAGGTTGAATGTAGCAGAGGTGGGTATAGGTGAACTCCTTCCCATCAATTTATGTTTTGGTGGAAAGTTTTAACCTATACCTGCATAGTAGGTAACAAATAAGCAATGCTAGTGGAGTAGTCACCTAGTTGGTGTATCTGCAAGTTGGCCTGGACACCATTTAACATAAAATGATAAAGTGAGATTAATCATATACTCCCTCCATTTCAATTTGTTTGTCTTAGTTTCACTTGGTACAAAATTAAAGAAAATAAAGAAGAGTTTTGAATCTTGTGGTTTTAAATTAATGATGAGTAATACCCTTCGGGGTGGCCCAGTGGTTTGAGCTTGGGACTTCCATGTTGGAGGTCTCAAGTTCGAAACCCCTTGCCAGCGAAAGCAAGGGGTTTGCCTTCTGGGTCGAGCTCGTCGCACCAGGCTTGCCTAGTGCGGGTTACCTCTCCTATGTGGTTTGCGAGCTATTGCATAGGAGCGGGGGTTTTACCCTGTGCGCACCCAAAGGGTAGCGGCTGCGGGTTTCCCTTGTCATCAAAAAAAAATAAAAATAAATTAATGATGAGTAATAAACCAAAATGCCTTTTGAATCTTGTGGTCTTAGATATGTCATGTAGGATATTGGGTATAAAGAGTTGCTAAATCTAGAAAGAAACATTCTTTCTAGGGCAGACTAAAAAGGAAAGTAAGACAAACTAATTAAAATGGGGACAGTAATAATATTCTTGGTAGCTTGTTAGATCTATGCGGCGGAGCTTCTAATCCATGATGTAACAGGGTGAAGTTGATCACTGAGGAGATTGAGAGAGAAGAAGAAGCATGGCGTGAGGATTTATATTCATCTAACAGAAAATTTGCAGAATATTATAATGTAAGAACTCTGTTCTGCATCAGTTTTGTCTACCTAATTCTTCTTGTCGGCCTTTTCATTCTAAGGTACTTCCACAGATTTGGTTAAGACTCATGTTACTTGAGAAAATATTTGACTTTATATGTTGCCTATCTAAGGTCTTGGAGCAGATCCTTGGTGTTCTTATTAAGCTTGTCAAAGATATAAAGTTGGACCATCAACATAAATATGTAAGTTAACCATTCTGCTATTGTTGTTTTTGTTCAAATTAAGGCATTCTGATTCCTTTGATTTCTCTAATTAACTATCGTAGACACTTCACTAGTTTTGGATACAATTGACACTGCTGATGGTCTTTTGCTCTTTCGGATAGATGTTTATTCTTTCTATAATTTGTGGATCCATTAATAGGATGAACTACAAAAGACGTGGCTGTGCAAAAGATGTGAGACCATGAGGGCAAAATTAAGGTATGACATTCATGATTCTTGTTCTGGTTCGTTGTAATAACTGGTGCCTTGTGTTTTTTTTATTTTTTGGGCTCAGAGAGGATTTGGAAAGTCGAATAACTTCTTCTATTCATTTGTGTGAACATTGTATGGCTATTGATTTTTCAGAAGGGTTCTCTTTCTTTTCTTAGATTATTGTGGGGTTGGATTGGGTACAAAGCTCAGTTAAACTATTGCTTCCTCTGCCTTATTATGATAACCTTGTCAATTGCCTAATTCCTACTATGAAGGTAGTGATCTTGCACTTCAGTGGTTGAAGTCCTGGTTGCAGTTTGTGTTATTTTATTTCTTTATCTATCGGAAGGACCTTGTTTATCATCCCTTGGAGGGTTTGAATTTTCTCATCTAGGGGTCCAAGGCAGTATAGTTACTATTTATATGTCATGATCTTTTCAAACTATGTGTTCTATTGATTTTCTTCTTTTCGTACAGAAGGATATAATTTCTTGAGAAATCTGACATAGTAGTGTATTGCTTTCAATGAGAGTATTCTCTTTCTTTCATGTGATATCCGCAGAAATTTGTTCAGCATAATGGGGTCACCATCAACTTCAATAGATCTTCTTATATCCTGTTATTCTCTCACTAAAGAACAGGATCTCTTGCTTTGAGATTTATGTCTTGGAAATACTAATATTATGGTCTTATTCTAAAAAAAAAGTAAATACTATGGTTATGGTCATCAAGTGTAACAGCTTCCATGATTTTCTATTGTTCGCCAAATTTCTAGAACGTACTCTCCTATTTCAGACTTATGCCTCAAAAACAATTTCTGCACTTCACAAAATTAGGTTGAAATTTCTTGAAAAATTTCACTTAGTAATGTGTTGAGTTCAATGAGAGAAGTCTCTTTTTAATGTGAAAACCCTAGAAATTAATTAGCATCACCGGCTTTATAATCAACTTTAATAGCATTTTTACATCCTGTTATTCTGTTAAATAAAGAACACAATGTCTAATATCTTGCTGCTATACTTGTGCCTTTGAAATACTGATGTCATGGTCATCAAGTTTAACAGCTCCTGACACATCCTTTTCTTTACCAGAGTTCTGGAACATGTTCTCCTACTTGATACTTATACCCCGGAAACTATTCCCGCCCTTCACAAAATAAGGTAAAGAAACATGACTTTAGAAATCCTTATTGTGTTTCCGATGTCGAAGAACGTATACTCAGTTTACGATCATCACAGGAAGTATTTGATTGAAGCAACAGAAGAAGCATCACTTGCATATGAGAAAGCGGTACACTTTCTTATACTAGTCTATCTATTTTTTGTTTTTGATTTGATGGATCATCTTCATATTTACTACATATCCATGATTTGCTTACACTTGTTCCTTGGACTCTGACACCTCATTTGGGAGAATCAAGGAATCTTGATCAGTCAAAGATTATATAACACTATTTAGCTGTTTAGTGGTAAGAGGACAAGTGGATTAGGCACATGTCACAAGTTTGAACCTTGCTAGATAAGTATCTGGTATTTAAGTGGAGAAGGGTAGAGGGACGGGCCCATTATCCATTGAGCTTCGAACCATGTGCCAACTAGGCACTAGCACGAGATTTGTTGGTTGTTAAAAAATAAATCTGTTAGATTCAGTTGGAAGATTGCCTGATATCATGTATTGATCTTCACAAAAATGCCTCAATTCAGATTGCTCATTGGCAGTTACCATTTTCCATGTAAATTATTGGTGGGTAATCTCTTCTCTTGGGAAATTGAAGACAATTAAATTGGACTTCACTAAAATAGGATCTCTTTCATGCATATTTTTGCTTGTCCTCACTATTCCGTTTGATAAAAGTAGCTAAATACTTGAGAAATGCCATCAATATAGGTCTCTATTTGTCTGGTTTGGTGTTGATAGCTTTGCCTTCAAACTAGTTTATTAATTAGTCTGACGTTGTTGGGCATGGCTTTTGATCCTAACTGTGAAATATGTTAGGCTTCCCGCCTTCGTGAGTATCAAGGCGTTGATCCTCATTTTGACGAAATTGCTAGGCAGTACCATGACATTGTGAAGGTAAAGTAAAGTTCATGGGAGTTTTGTTAAATTATTGTAAACTACTTTTGTTTTTTTGGAGACAAAAGCTAACTTTGACTCATATCCAAGCAGAAATTGGAGAGCATGCAGTGGACCATTAACCAAGTTGAAATGGACTTGAATCCTTTGCCTGCTCACTCCAGCACCTAAGCCATCTCTCTTCATACTGTTTTCTGTATTATAGGAATATATATAAAAGTGTTTATCTCATATTTACATTTACTAACACTTGAATATCGACGTTAAAAAGCTCGATTTGCGGCCATTGTAAAGAACCTAAGAATGAAGGAAAGTGTTTTCCTTATTGCAATCTTTTGGGCTGACTACTCTCAATAGTTCTCCGGACTTTTAGTTTCATTCCTAAAGTGTGAACTTTGCATAAGAAAATAACTATTTGATACGAATTTAATGTTCTTTCATTTACTTAATTTCTTTGCTATAGTTTTCTCATTGATATGTAAAATACAAGCAGTGAAAAAAAGAGAGAGATTGTTACCACTCAAAGGTTGAGTTACAAATTTAATAAATTTTCAAAATTGACTTCTTTGAGGTAAAGTTTATTCTTTGAAAAAGAAAAGAAAAGAAAAAGTGTGGCGACTACCTACCTATCTTGGGCCTCCGGTAAGAAAAATTTGAGAATTGGGAAGTATTATTTAAGTATAACTTATATAAATTTCATAGTGTAAAGAGTAAAGTACACCCTATTGCTACTCTTTTTCAAATTACAATAATCTCTTAAAATTTGTACCTTTTGGATTCATAAGTCACCGTCCGGATACATTAGTTCTAATACAAGAAGAATCATTCTGTTGCACTAAAAAGGAAATAAAATATGAAAATCTAATTAAATTTCATAATTTACGCTTACGTTTCTTCTTACTCTCAATCTTACAGAGGCAAATCCAGAACGAAGAAATTCAAAATTTCAAATTGCTCCCCCTTGTTCAGCGCGAAGAAACCTTTCAGATTGATTCAAAAACTTTTATCGAAATTTTGGTTTAGAGTGGTGAGTTATGAAGGATACAAAAGTGACAGAATTATTGTTGAACAAACGATTTCCTTTTGAATCTTCAAGTTCATCGAAGATCCTTTCAATTTTGATTCAAGTTATTTGAATTTGCTATTTATACCCTCTGTTTTTTTTATTTTTGATTCAAGTTGGGCTAATCAGAATTTTTTCGAACAATCTGAAGGTCAAGTGCCTATTTCGGGTATATGTGTGTGCATATTGAGCTTGGAAAAAATTGTCTTTGATTATAATTGATATGCCTCAATTAGGGGTGGCATAATGGGTAAATAATATGGGTATCCGCTCATATTTACCCATTTTAAATGGGTTGGGTATTCAACTCATTTAAAAATGAGTAAAAAACGAATAATACCCATATTATCAATTTAAAAGTGGGTAGTTAAATAGATATGGTAAAAGATGTACATTCACACAAACAAAAAAAAAGTGATCAAGGGTGGGATAGTAAGGAAGTCTTTTTTTTTTTTTAAAAAAAAAAAATCTATAAAAGAAATGAAAGCTTTTTTTTACATTTTTTTGGGATAGGGAGGTGGGGAGGCTGGTAGGGGGGTGGGTTGGTAAATTATTTTAATTTTTTTTTTACAAAAAAATTAATATTTTGTTAATTTTTTTTTGGATGGGGTGTGGATAGGGCTAGCAGGGGACCGGGTCGGCCCGCCCGGCCCGCGACCGGTTCGAGAACCGGTTCGACGGACCCGGTCCCGTAAAGTTTCGCGGGTTGGGAGGGGTTCGGGATAGGGGACCGGTTAGGGGCCGGTTCACCCTTTGGGCCCGGTCGACCCAACCTGGATGAACCGGCCGGTTCGCGGGATTCCCTAACTTTTTTTCTTTTTTGAATTATATTCGTTGGGGCAATGGCTAGTGGGCCCCCCAACAAATTTATTCACTTTTTTTTCCTTCCCCAACACCTCCTACCACCCCTACTTTTAATACTTTAATTTAAACCCTTAAGTTATCATAAATACACTTTAACCCACTTTTAATATTATAAATACCCCTCTATCCCTTATTATTTCTTACAAAATCATATATTCTCTCATCTATTTTTTATATCCTCTCAAGTCTCAATCTTAAGTCTCAATTTTTTATTCCATTTAAGTCTCATATTATATCATAATACATATATTTCAGTTCTAAATTTTCATATTATATATCATACTATATATAATTCTCATATTTGCTATCAAATATTGGAGTTCCAAATTACAAGTTACAACAAACTACAAGCTTCAAGAATCGATTATAACGTCTGCTATTAACGCAGACGTTTGGTACATTCGTTTCATAATATTTATATTTTATTTTTCGTCATTAATTTTTGTGTTATTATTATTTTTATATTATACTTTACATATAATTAAATATGAATTCTAACAAAAAAGATACCGGTAAAGGAAAAGAAAAAGAACCAAGTGGCATTAGTAATTATTTAATTTTAATAAAAAAAGTAGTAAGAAAAAAAATAAGAGTAAATGTGGTGGTACTTCTAGAGTTAGATTTAATACAAATGATTCTACTTATGTTGATGATACTTCTTATGATATTGATTCAAATGCTCAACTCGATCGTGAACTTTTACAACAAATTTATGGTGATATTAATCCTTATCTTGATGAAAATTCAGGTGAAGAAGTAGAAGTTGGTTCGGGAGAAGATGAATTAGAAGATACACCTACTAGTCCGGTGACAAATGTTCCAAATGAAACTACAAATTCAATGGAGCAAAATTCTGGACGCCCACCCCTTATACCTCCTACAAGGGAGAAGGTGAAGTATCAACGCCCTAAAACTTCTGTTGTGTGGCAATTTATGACTTTAGATAAGGAAAATTCTATTGCTATTTGTAATAAGTGTAAGCAACCTTTTAAACATAAACAAGGTGGAGGTCAAGGTGGGACGGGAGGCTTAAATAGACATTTGTTATCTTGTGTGCCGATTCAATATAAAGAAGCTAAATCATTAGCCAATAGAAAAAAAGGAATTCTGGTTAATGATTTTGATATTAATGTTAATGAATCGGTAGGGGCTTCTAATATGGTTCAAGGAACATTAGATCCTTCTAACCCCGGTGGTCCACTAACACAACGTAAATATAATAAGGAAAGAGATCACAAAAATTTAGCTAAAATGGTTTCTGTTTGTGGTTTACCTTATAGTTTTCCTTCACATCCCGGTTTTATTGAATATATTCAACAAACTTATAATCCTAATTATAGAGGTTTTTCAAGAAATACTGTTAAATCTGATGTTTTTGTATATCAAGGTAAACATTATCTTCGTTGTATATTTAGCATATTAGATTGTAGAGTGTCTATAACTTCAGTCATGGGTCGTAGTGTTAATGAACATGATTATTTAACTGTTACAGCACATTGGATTGATCATGACTGGAATTTGCAAAAAAGAATCTTAAGTTATAAAGAATGTGTAGAGAAAAAAACTAGTGCATATTTAGCTTCAAATATTTTGAGTGTTATAGATTATTACATGCTTATAGATAAAGTAATGTCTATCGCATTAGATAATGCATCTAATAATATAAACGCTGCTAGTATGTTAAAAACTAGATTATGTCCAATTGATGTTAATTCTTTTCATGTTAGATGTGTTGCACATGTATTAAATTTAGTTGTACAAGATGGTATTTCATTATTTGAATGTGGTTGTATGAAAATTGAATATGCTGTTGCCTAGATTTTTTATGCTAATAGAGCTGCTAGAATTAGGGAATTTAATGAGCGTTGTGTACTATGTGATTTTCCACCAAGAAAAATTTCAAGACATATTAAAACAATGTGGAATTCTTTTTACGAAATGTTTTCAATTGCTTACGAATATAGAGGACCCATACAAATGGTGTTTAATGCTCATAATGCTGACCCATTAGACATAATTTGTGAAGAAGATTGGGAAGAAACTAATGAACTATTAGAATTTTTAAGACTTCTTTATGATGCTACAACCATGTTTTCTGCAATTTATTATCCTACTATTTCATCAGTATTAATAAATATTTGTGCTATTTCAATTCAATTTTCTAAATATAAAAAAATTGAAAAATTTAAAGTTGCAATTGAAGGTATGATTGAAAAATTTTAAAAATATTTTTTTCCTATTCCTCAAATGTTTTTAACTGTTACTTTACTTCATCCTGACTATAAATTACAAGGTGTGCAGGGACTTGTTAACACTTTTTATGATACCTTAGAAATTTTACCGGAAATAAATCCAACTTGTGAAATGTGTAAGTCTAGCATAAAAGTAGAAGCAACAATTTTGTTTGAAAAATATAGAACTACAGGAAATACTCAAGAAGTTGGTTAAACTTCTAATCCTCAGAGTAAAGCTCGAATTTCAAGTTATATGCGAGATTTTCTTGGTCTTAATTCTACTAACCGTGATGATTTTGAAGAATGTCTTAATCAAACTTTAGAAACAGTGGAAGACGGAGATGACAATGAAGAATTATTAGCATGGTGGAGGAGGCGGAGCGTTGCATTTCCAATTTTGAGCAAAATGGTTCGTGATGTTCTAGCTATTCAAGCTTCATCAGTTGCATCAGAGGCTGCTTTTAGTGTGGCAAAGTTTCAACTTGGCGATCATAGACATTCATTGGCGAAAGACAGTTTGGAAATATCAGTTTTATTTAGAGACTGGGTCAACGTTGAGAGGAGGAATTATAATTTGCCAAAGTTAAGTTCCAAACAAGAAGGTTGGATTAATACGATAATTGGATCTAGTGATGATGAATTAGAGTCACAAGAGTTTCTAGCAAGTTTGCCAACACCGGAGGATGTTACAGTCGATATGATGCGACAATTAGAATTGAATTTTAAAGGAGAATACAAATATTAGATTACATCCGAGAACTAATTGAAACAGAACCCTTCCTAGAAGGTGGCTGCGTAAATTAGTTACTCATCTAATATTTGTAACAAATATTAGTTTTACATATGAGAACTTATTGAAACAGAACCCTTCCTAGAAGGTGGCTGCGTAGATTAGTTACTCCACTAATATTTGTAAATTGTAACTTCTAAGTTCTAAGTTGCAATTAGATTTTATTGAATAAATTTGAAGGCTTTATTCAAGTCTATTTTATATAACTATTGTCTTGCATTTTAATTTTAATATATTCATA